TTTTTAAAGATTTTATTTATTTGACAGAGAGAGACACAGTGAGAGAGGGAACACAAGCAGGGGGAGTGGGAGAGGGAGAAGCAGGCTCTCCGCTGAGCAGAATGCCCGACACGGGGCTCCATCCCAGGACCCTGGGATCATGACCTGAGCCAAAGGCAGATGCTTAATGACTGAGCTACCCAGGCGCCCCATAAAATAATTATTTTAAAAAGTTTTGCAAACACTGTTTCCATAAAACAGTACACCTTCTTAAACTCTCCCTGGAAACTATTGTCTCCTGAATTATTTATTGAGAAGATAAACACACAATATTTACACTCGCTATTTTTTTATAATGCTCTTAAATACTAAACTTTTTATTTCCAGTGAAAACATCAGTTTGATTTTTAAGTAATACCCATATCTGTCCTTTCCATTGGTATCACAAGGAAAAAAGTTTTTGCTATGATAACACCAACGTCAGTAGATACTGGTTGTAAAGTTTCGGTGGGATGACCATGCTCTGGAGTTTTTATTTTTCAAGGTAAAGTAGTTTTATGTGTTTCCAGTGCCTTTCACATTTCACAAAAATCCTCCTTTCCCCAACAACAACACCCACACATTTCACTGCTTACCTTTTACTATCCAGCAAAACCATATTTAATGCACTTCTTGACCTCATCAGTAGGGATTTCTCATATCTCCATAAAGAAACTTAGATCCTAATCTGTCATATTTAGAAAAGATTTGTTTATTTATTTTAGAGAGCGAGAGAGTGAACATGAGCTAGGGGAGGGGCAGAGGGAGAGGGAGAGAGAATCTCAAGCCGACTTCCTACTGACCATGGAACCAGATGCGGGGCTCAATCCCACGACACTGAGATCATGACCTGAGCCAAAACCAAGAGGAGGATACTTAACCAGCTGAGCCACCCAGGTGCCCCTAATCTATAATTTTTTTTTTAAGATTTTATTTATTTATTTGAGAGAGAGAGAGAGAGAGAGCACAAGCAGGGGAGAAGGAGAAGCAGACTCCCCGATGAGCAGAGAGCCCAGTGCAGGGCTTGATCCCAGGATCCTGGGATTATGACATGGGCCAAAGGCAGACTGTTAACCGACTGAGCCACCTGGGCCCCCCACCCCAATTTGTCATTTTTAAATGCAATGAAGCAAGGGGGAAGCTCTATAAGATGGACTGCTTTGTCTCCGGGTTTCTATCACATACACTGGTTTAAAGTCCAGGCTTAACAAGACCAAGTACATACGCCTGAGAGGAAACTGCACAGGCCCGTTTACACATGCACTTAACCTTAATTAAGATGGCATCCTGTTTTTGCTGAGACTCCATCCAAATAAAAAAAAAAGAGAGAGCAATATCTTTCCAGATTAAGACACAAAACTCTACGTTGAATATAATCATGGAGAGTTTTTATCTGTCTCAGAACGTTAACATTATAAGGATTTTACACAGAGTATTGACTGATTTGATGTGAAAT